TCCGAGTCTACTCCGATCATGTTGCGAGCAGACGTATGTAATGGTGTCCATAATGTGTCCATGTCTACTTCAAACCTTTGCAAGCAGACGTACGTAAGGGGGTAGCCGGGATTAGCGGCGTGCAATGAGGGGTGTACAAGGACCATAGTCCAGGGGGTCCTAGCCCAGCGAGTGTTGAGTGGATACAAGGACGTACCAGTCCAGGGAACACCGAGTCTCAAGGCTCGGTGAGGAGCAAGGAGATCGAGTTAGGGAACTATTCTACGATACAGGTAGTTCTTATATACATCCTGGGCTGACCCTTGAGGGCACGTCCTCACTGTACACTAACGAGTGAACACTACAGGAATCCTTCATGGATATCCAGTGGGTCCAGCAATGGGCACAATGGGTACAAACCGCTGAGTCAACATGCACAAGACTATTCTAGAACGTTCCAGACCTGATCACATGTCCCTACATCACGACCACAAGGTCACATGCCATCACGTGCCTACCACATGACTGGTCACGTGCCTATCCCTCTATCCATCCCACATCTCCATCGTTGAAGTGGCACCTGGGGCCACAATGCCTGCAAGGCGCGTACACTCCTTAGAAACGCCGAGAAATAAAGAGTTAGGTTTAGCCCAAAGGCCGTTTCACCGGGCGGGTCATCATGGATGCCAAGGTGTGGTGAGTCTCTTCGAAGGTTTTTCCCGTTGCGATGAAGATGGTGTCGTCCGCATATCTGGAGGCGAGCTCATTCGGGCCCTCGGGGATGTCCAGAACATCAGCGTTGTAATAGATATAGATGAGGAAAGAGAATGGGCACCCCTGACCAATCCCATGATCGATGACGAAGGGATCCGAGGTAAAGTTGTCAAAGCGCAGCCGAGTACGACGATTTGCCAGCATTCGACCGACGAAGTCGACAATAGGTAGCGGGACCCGGCGTTTACGCATGTTGTGGAGGACGCGGTCGTGAACGGCATTGAGGAAAGCACCCTCGATGTCGAGAAAGAGAACGGAAACGACCTTGTCCTGACGCCAAGAGTGTCTGATGTGATGTACAAGGTAGTGCATGGCATCCGTCGTGGTACGCCCTGGTCGTCCGCCAAAGTGTGTAGCTGGGAGGAGCTGATGGCGCTCAGTCAGATAGGAGAGCTGGCCTGCAACTAGAGCAGAGAGGAGTTTGGCCAGTGTGCAGAGCAGAGCAATCGGACGAAAGGACTTGGCAAGATCGTAGGCCGCCCGACCAAATTTCCGAAGAACGATAGTGAGAAACTCCTTCCAAGGCCCGTAATAGGTCCGGAGCGTGAAGATGGCACGGAAAATGAAGAAGATACGATCGATGATAACATCAATGCACTTCATAAGGACAACGTTAGGTATACCGTCCGGACCCGGTGCCTTGTAGGGACTGAGCTTTGAAACCTGGGCCCGTATCTGCGCCCGTGAGAAGTTGTGATAGGTACCAGGGATGGGATCGTCGTATATGAAGTCAGTCGGCACGGAAGACTCTGCTGGGCGTGGAGGAAAGAACGATTTCGCCAGGACCTCAGCCTTCTGAGCTTCGGAAGAAGCGATGATGGTGCTGCCGTCCACCTGCGAGATTTTAAGGGGAGGAATCTTGGTCTTCCCAGCGTCGCCTGAAGGGGTGGATATAAACCGGCTTGCCGTCCAGAGATCAGGGCCGGTGATATTCTCCAGCCAATCCTTCCAGTGATGCCGCTTGGTGGATTCTAGCACAAACTTGTACTGCCGCTTTGCCTCGCCCGCTACTGCATGAGACCCATGTCCCGGAAGATCTCGGAACTTGTAGGCCTGTCGAGCCGTGCGTGTCATGTCCCTTCGCAGATCTGCTAGTTCACGAGTCCACCAGCGTTTCGAATGAGGAGAAGGACGAGACAATGGAACATGAGAAGCAATAGTAGCCTGAATGCATGAAGTGAGGGTAGAGACTGCTCGGATGAACTCCTCCTCAGAGGTCAGATACGAAACAATAGGTAGCGGAGATGAGGCTAAACGATCTTCTAAGTTTGCCCGGAAAGCTGCCCAATCAACAAGACGAAAATTTGGAGTGGGGATCTGTTCCACATGCGCAAGGGAAAGGTCCAAGATGCTGACAATGGGTACATGATCGGTGGTAGGCCCCTGCAGCTCTGGCTTTGTGTCACAATGAATAAAAAGATCGAGAGTATGAGGGGTGCAGAAGACATTATCCAGCCGAGACCAGAGCTTAGAGACGAAATGGCGGTGTGTAGGGATCCCGGCAGGAAGCGCCATGCGCAAATCAAGGTCAGATAAAAGAGTCATGAAATGTTCAGAGGCCTCCTGGGCGCTCGGAGTGAATAAACGAACATCCTCCGGGTTATCCCAAGCAGGATCGTGACGGTTGAAATCGCCGAGCCATATGATGTGCGAATTTGGAGAAGGAAATAGAAGAGCATGATTCAGACGGAAGAACTCGCGAAGAGCTACCTCGGTGACAGAGCTGGCCCCGTCGTTGTAGATGTTGAAAATAGTCACTGAGTCAAAATTTGGTCGGCCATGTCGACCTGGCCGCAAGCTCGGGACTCGAAATTGGATAACGGTGACATCCGGGGAAGGAAAAGAGAGTTGTTCCCAGGGACATGTAGCGGCAATGTTAGAGCGAACAAATGTGATAGAACGAGAGATTTGATCAGAAGTCAGATGAGTAGACGGGTACACGACATGCCAGTCTCGAGAGGCACGAGTGTTGTTGAGATAGTCAAGATAAGGTTCCTGGAGTGCAAGGACATCGTAGTCTGCCCATGAGCGGTCGTTGAACAAGCCAAACTGCATAATGTTGGAAGCATTCACGTTTTGTTGCCATAAACGCAGCTTCGAAAAGGTGGTGCCCTTGTGCCCATTCATCGGGAACCCAACGGAGTCGCGTTAGAGGACGTGACAGGGCCGAGACGCCCATGGCCCTCCGGATCATGATATTCATTAGGTGTGGGCTGAAGCGGACGGGCAGGACGGCAATCCAAATGAGGAGGAGCAGGACGCTGCCACTCTGACAGGGTAGTCTGATGCTGACGGTTAGGCTGAGGACGTGTATCACGTTGAGCCGTCTTTTCGACTGCAAAGGCCTTTGGGAAGCGTTCCTGAAGCGGAATTCGAGGCGGGGCCGCACAGTGCGTGACAGGGTCGCCTGTAACATAGAACGGCATAGCGTTGTCTGGGTTGCGCATATCATAATCATCACACAACTGGAGGAAGGTCGGACAATGCCTGTCGGAACTGGCATGAGAATCTGAGTTGCAAGAAACACAATGAACGGTCTTGTAATCAGTACATTTGAATGAGCGATGGGCACCTCCACAAGACCCGCAAACATCAACACTGGACTTGCACGATGCAACCATGTGCCCATAATGATGGCAACGGGAGCACTTCACCGGTTCTTTCTTGAACTTCTCCACTTCTACCAAACAATCCAATATAACAACATTCCCGGAGATAAGAGAGTTCGCGGCCTCAGCCGTCGTGGTATAGAGAACACAGTGCGCCCTGGACTGAGTAGGGTGGCGACGATCAACAGCCTTGATCCAGCGGCCACCGATTATAGTACCTGAGTCCAGTCCGGAGTGTACCTCCAAGGCCCGTAAAGAAGCTGCATCATCAAAATCAAAGGCTACGGGCGTGAAGCGGACAAGGACAGGGAAAACCCTATCTCTGGCAGATGCGGTAGATGTGAAACAGGAAGCAAATTGGGTGCAGATCTCTCCAGAGCGAAGCCAGTCAGCGGCCTCCTTAGTATCGAGGAGAAACACAGCTCCAGTCCTGCGCACCCGGTGGGCGGCAAGCACGGTAACAGCGATGGTTGGGTTCAGAGAAACGACAGAAGCCTTTGCCTTAGCAAGTAGCTCAGAGATAGAACTCGTCAGGATAGGATCATTGTCCTTCACAGCTCCGAAATCAATAGCGACCTGACGGGCTTGTAGTACCGCATGCCGGACAACTTTCGGATCCAACCCACTAGCAGAACCATAGCCAGAAGCGGAGGAGTTCACCAGAGCATCCCGATAAGAAGGGACCGAACCAGGCACCCGAGCAAAGTCTGGGGGCCCAGCAGAAATACTCTTAGAAGCCGAAGACAATTCAGCAGATGTAGCCTTCAGTCCAGAAGCGACTACTTTCAGCTGATCCATGCACTGGAGAGACTCGTGAACAGCAGTGAGATCGTCCTCTACCGTGGAGGACAAGGTGCGGACGACAGATTCGAGTGGAGCGACAGCAGCGGAGACAGCGGGCCCAATCTGATCGAGGACGGGGCGGAGGCCCTCAGCGACACCACGGGTGACACTTTCAACAAGGGCGTCGCGCTGAAAGTCGTGGTCGAGAGATCCCAGGAGCGTGGCGACATGGCCAATGGCGGCGGCGGCGGGAGCGGGGAGGGCGCGATTGCTGACCTTGGTGTCACGAATGCGAAGGAGAACTGTGCGAAGGTTGGCAATCGTGGCTGGATTCTCGGGAAGACCGAACTGCTTGAGCGCGGCTTTCGCATCGGCGACCTCGTCAGGACCGATGGCAGAGGATTGAGACTGAGACAGGGCAGGGGAGGTATCGCGTTGGAGGATTTCAGTGAGGGTGGGCTGGCGGGACCCGGCGGGCGGGGTGAGACCCCGGTTTCCAGTGGCGGAAGCCGACTTGTCGATGGGCTTAGGCTTCGACATTGGGAACTAAGCTTCAAAGAGGGACAGGAAATGCAAGAGAGTGACTATGCGAAGGGCTATGGAGAATATCGAGACATATTAAGAGGACGAAAAGTGCAGCGGGTAACGAGAGAGATTCAAGGAGTCGGGGTCCTGGGCGGTGCCGGGGTGTCGGTGGTGGTGGTAGGCGGAAGAGAAGATGTATGAGAGATCCATTCATATCGACTCATATACCCCACTTGGACAATCACCTAACGGTTCCGAAATTCAGTTTGCTTATTTATCAGCCTGTCAAGATAAAAACATAAAATCCCAGTTCCAAGCCTGTTCCATTTTGACTGTGACCCAAATACACGACACATCCGGGTCCAGGGTATCGTTTTCCTCTCATTGCACTCCCACTCCGCAGATCAAAACCCATAAAATCACAAAAACCGATAACCATCCTATACCCGTCCACCCCATCAGTCAGTGCTATGCACAGGTGGTCCCGCCCTGTCAGTTTCACCCTCAGTATCACAACCGTCCAGGTCCCGGAGACATCGTTCGGCCGCAAGACAAGGAGATAGTACAAATCTTTGCGAAGAAGAAGTACAAGCCTGTGGCACAAAAGGTTCGACCAGTCCTGGCGGACCTTCCGGATACCTTCCGCATTGAACGAAACATACGGGGGGATCCACTAGCGACATTACCGGTCATCTCACCGATCATACCCGCATTCGAGCCCACTGGGAGATACACTGAGGAACGCCGGCAGATTATTGATGCAGTACATTCCGGTGATTTTCTTTGGCCAGACGAGCGCGCTCTCATGCACCATTTCATGTGTCTACATCAAGACGGCTTTGCTTGGAGTGACACAGAATGAGGACACTTTCGAGAGGACTTCTTTCCGCCCGTCCGGATGCCCGTCATAGCACACAAACCATGGAATCTCCGAAACATTCCAATACCACCAGGTATATATGACAAGGTTTGCGATATCATCAAGACCAAACTGGCCGCCGGTGTCTATGAGCCATCCAACTCCTCATATCGTTCCCGCTGGTTCTGCGTAGTCAAGAAGGACGGATCAAGTTTGCGGATTGTTCACAGACTGGAACCATTGAATGCGGTGACTATACAACATTCTGGTGTACCCCCGCATACAGATGCATTGGCGGAGCATTTTGCAGCGCGTGCATGTGGGGGTATGCTGGACCTATTTGTTGGATACGATGAGCGGGCACTGGACGAATTCTCACGAGACCTGACAACCTTTCAAACCCCGTTCGGCGCGCTACGCTTGGTTACCCTACCGATGGGTTGGACGAACTCTGTGCCAATCTTCCACGATGATGTCACATATATCCTACAACCTGAAATCCCAGCGACCACTATACCTTATATCGATGATGTTCCCGTGCGTGGTCCGGCCTCGACGTATCAGAATGCGGATGGCACCTATGAGACACATCCGGAGAACCCAGGAATTCGCCGCTTTGTGTGGGAGCATTTCCAAGGACTCAACCGGGTAGTGCAAAGAATGAAGTACTCGGGCGGGACATTTTCAGGTTACAAGGCCGTACTTTGCACTCCGGAGATTACAGTGGTGGGACATCGCTGTACAGCAGAGGGCCGACTACCCGAAGAAGACCGTGTGGCCAAGGTATCATCATGGGGGCCATGCAAAGACCTCTCTGAAGTCCGCGCTTTCCTCGGGAGTGTAGGAGTGTGCCGGAACTTCATCCGAAACTTTGCACACCGGGCACATGCACTCACGATGTTGACCAGGAAGGAGCAGCCCTTTGTGTTCGGACCAGATCAGTTGGCAGCCATGGAAGACCTCAAGGAGGTGCTGAAGAATTCCCCGTCTCTTCGGCCCATCAATTACGGCTCAGTGGCAGCAGTTATCCTCGCAGTGGACACGTCTTACCTGGCCGTCGGATTTCACCTCTGTCAGTGCGACCTTGACAACCCCCGGACCCGCTACTATGCGAGGTTTGGATCCATCACGCTCAATGATAGGGAGGCCCGGTTCTCACAGCCCAAGCTGGAGCTTTATGGCCTGTATCGTGCGCTGCGGTCCCAGAAGATGTACTTAATCGGGGTCCGGAACTTGACGGTGGAGGTCGATGCCCGCTATATCAAGGGAATGCTCGCCAACCCAGATATCTCCCCAAGTGCCAGTGTCAATCGATGGATCATATCGATTCTGACATTCCATTTTACTCTGATTCATGTCCCCGGAACCCTTCACACCCCAGATGGACTATCACGACGACCGCCGCAGCCTGGCGACCTTCCGGAGCCTGACGATACGTTCGAGGATTGGATTGACCAACTCTATGGATTCATGCACTTCATCAACGAGACAAGCGCAAGGCCCTCCCTATCCCGGAAACTGTCCATCTTCGCGCAGACAGAGCTAGGGTCAGCCAATCCAGTGATGGGTGAACAGACACAGTCGCTGGAGCTGCCAACGTCAGAGGCAGCCCGGGCAGCGGATGCAAGACTGGTGCTAGTGCGCCAATGGCACGACACCCTGAAATGTCCAGCCAATATGTCAGAGCGCGACTATGCTGCCTTCCTACAGTACTGCATTGAATTCTTTGTCCGCGACGACCGGTTATGGCGCAAAGATCCACAAGGACGACACAAGCTGGTCACCCCTCCGGACCACCGTCTCGCAGTGCTGCGTGCAGGCCATGATGATGTTGGGCACAAGGGCTTTTATGCAACCAGGGCACTACTATCCGAACGGTGCTGGTGGCCGCACATGCGACAAGACATTGCGTGGTTTGTCAAGACCTGCCACATTTGCCAGGTCCGACAGATGCGTCAAATCCTGATACCACCGACAGTTGCGCTCCCGGCACCCCTCTTTGCGAAGATGCATGTGGATACCATGTTTTTACCTGCGTCAGGGGGTTTCAAGGCGCTCGTGCATGGACGCTGTTCCCTTAGTCATTATCCGGAGTACCTTGCGCTGCGCAGAGAAACTGGAGAAGTGATTTCCCGTTGGATTTTCGAGTCGATTATCTGCCGGTGGGGCACACTCTGCGAAATAGTCACCGACAATGGCACTCCATTTCTCAAGGCGATGCCTATACTGGAGAAGAAGTATCACATCAAGCACATCCGGATTTTGGGTTACAACTCACGGGCCAATGGGATTGTGGAGCGACCACACCTCGACGTCCGACAAGCATTATTCAAGGCCGTGGACGGAGATGAGAGCAAATGGAGCCGAGCGCTGGCCCACGTCTTCTGGGCAGACCGTATCACTGTCCGGAGACGAATGGGTTGTTCTCCCTATTGTGCTGTCACCGGAACGGAGCCAATCCTTCCCCTTGACATCACCGAAGCTTCATACCTGTTGCCCCCGCCGCCTGGGGTTCTCTCGACTACGGAGCTGATTGTCTTCCGTGCTATAGCATTACAGAAACGTCGCGCACATCTTACAGCACTACGGTCGAGGGTATACTCAGCCCGGGTGGAGGCAGCCCTATGCTTTGAGCGAGAACATGCTCATACCATACGCGACTTTGACTTTCAACCAGGCTCTTTGGTTCTCATGCGTAATACTGCGATTGAGAAGTCATTAAGCCGGAAGATGCGTCCACGCTACACTGGGCCCCGAGTCGTCTTGGCACGTAACCGGGGAGGAGCGTACATTGTTGCCGAACTCGATGGTGCTGTCCTTCATCGCCCGATGGCATCAGGAAATCTGGTATCTGCTATATAGCTGGTGTGTTTTCCCACCCCTGGTTTGATAGCAGAACCCACGCTCTGAGAGCTCTGAGAGCACTCATATCAGTATGAGTAAACACTCTATATCATTAACTTGTATGACTATCTATACAGATACTACCATGTCCATGTATCTGTATTACCCTGTTCCACCTCAATAGAGATCTCTTACATGAGAGTGCCACCAGTCACAAGTGTCACAATGTCACAATTTTTGCTGGCCAGCCAGCAATTTGGGCCACACTTCTGCTCACATGTCCAAGCATCACTTCCTGACAAAATTAGGTATTGAGATTGATAGTATGGAAGACATGATGATATATAAGCTATCAACAAGGATAAATACAACAATAATAGGGAGACAGAGTCTGAGTGGCACTGATGTGGCACAAGGATATAGAACACAAATTGAAGAGGTAATGTGACATTTTGATGGTTTGAGTGATACATCCTCTCTACCCATACACTCTCTGGGGTTGATTTGTAAAGACAAAGAGGAGAACAAGTCGAAATTTGAAGCAGAGAAAATATAATGAAGGCAGGGTAGGGTAGAGGATAAGAAGAGAACAGGATTCTGTAGGAACTGTGGTGAATAATACATACCTGAGTGGAGAATACTCAACTTTAGATGTGGGAAGAGCCATGTATGGAGGGAACAAGAGAAAGATGGTCAAGTTGGAGAGAGGGAAAGGAAGCAAGAGGGGGCTAGGGATCAGGGAAGGAGAGTCCACTGAGAGAGCCACAAAGCAGTCAGAGATAATCTAAGGCCAGAGCCATTCACTACTCACCTCAAGAAGCATACTCTATTCTATCCCATGCCTTCACACATCTCCAGAAAGAGACAAAAAAGACGAAATATCCTGAGAGAGAACAGT